CCCCAAAACCCCAAAACCCCTCATATCGAAATTTTAAAAAATCAGTGAGATTAAATAATGGTAAAATTAAATTTATTTTATCTTTTACTTGTATGATCAACTATATTATTCGAAAGCTGATCAATGAATACATAGGCATGAAAAAAATGATTTCAAATCATTATCTACATTCAAATCTGCTTTGAGACACCATAGCTATTATTTTAGTTCATACTTTGATTGTTCTCCTAATTCATTTAATTGTCTAGGTTTTAGTAATTTGGAGTAGCACCATAAAAATAGCTTGGAGTTGGACCTTCAGGACCGTAATTTATCACTTAGTTTGGCATTATATTTTGATATCCTGCTGTATTCACAGGCATGTGTTTGTTTCTAAATTCTTCTTTACTTTCATCTTGCATAGAAGCTTGCTAATGATGCTGATTAGCTTTAGGAATAGATCTACAGAGCCAATACTATGATATAAATGCTATGACGCAGAAAACAAATGAGACTATGAGAGTAATACCTACATTTACAGTGATATTTTTAAACGTTTATCTTAGAGAATCCATACAACTTTTAGTTGGAGGACCCTCCTTTAGCTCTTTATAGAAGTAGAAAATTCCAGGATTACAAATACCGTTGCAGTCAAACATATTTTCAATTTCTTTTAGAAGTGTGAGAGTAAAATGTGAAAGTTAGTATTTTGAATCTCTACTAAGTTAATAATCCAAACACTGGTAAAAGCTTTTGTATCCGCCAGAAACCACGTTTAAAGTTGTGTATGTTTAATAGTTCTTTTTGAAGGATATTTGCTTTGTTCTATAAAATTCATTCAACCTGTCTTCATTCCATTGCCAAAGAGGCATAGTTAAGCTGCAGGGGCATTCACTTGTACAGAATTTCTCTGCACTCCATTCATTTATTTCATTGTCAACAGTTTTTAGGGTATTAGAGATACTATTAAGTATGAATAAATAATCTCCATCAGATTTAGAACACACTGAGTCTAGAACTTGCAATGCTTAACCTTGAAAATAAACTCTTAGAGAATAAAAATGTCTTACTTCCAATGTAAAAGAGAAATATTCCAACACCTCCAAAGATAAAACTACATATCAAGATCCAGCACCCATACTAAAACAATTGTTATAATTAAGAATATTTTGTTGTAATTGTAACTAATTTTGAAGACAACTTACGCAACAGTTGCAGCATCTTTTATGGCACTTGATCATACAGAATCCACAAAGTCCGAAGATTGCAACTAGAAGTCCAAGAGCAAGAATGATATAGAAAATATAGTTTCCAGCAATTCTTAGTTCATCGTTGCTGTCAAAGATTGACTCATTTTTTATTATACCTGAAAAGACACATACTACTATTCCAACAACCTAATAAATTTAGTTATATTTCAAGAAAAAAAGTATTTAAAATTCAAATATTGATTTTACTTACAAGAATGATGACAGAAACGACAGCAAGAAATATTCTGCAGCACTTGATAGAGCAACACATTTTAACAAGGGAAATATGAATCAATAAATAAAATTAAATATTCTTGATACCTATAAATAACATTTAACGATACAATTTAACTCTTAATTGCAAATTTCAAAGTAACGGGGTTTTGGGGTTTTGGGG